TGACGACATCAAAAGCAGCTCCAACCATCTCTGGCTGAAGTTTGTATCTGACGGATCGGTCAACAAAGCTGGTTTTGCAGCCAACTTTTTCAAAGGTCAGAACATCATTTCAGTCACAAACTGCTAGCAGCTAAAAGAAACTTTTGGTTTGGAACGAATTTTGACAATTTTTCATTTGCCAGAGATGGACGAGTGCTCCAGGCCTGACAACGGTCACTGCGAGCAGCGCTGCATGAACACGCTGGGCAGCTACAGATGTGCTTGTGACCCTGGATATGAGCTGGCAGCTGACAGACGCAGCTGTGACAGTGAGTATATTGCAACTAAGACTCCACACACTAACACTATACTGACAAGCAACATTAAAGTGCCACTACTTCAAATCAGGAAGAGAAACTAGTCCAGCTAGTCAACTCAAGTCTACCGCTACACAAACACAGTTATTCCCTTTCTGTGACAATAAATTTGACAATAAATACTTTTCTCATTTTAGATTTGTTTCCAGTCTTTATGCTAAGCTAAGCTAATGACCCAATGGTTGTAGCTTCATATTTAGCCTACAGATATGAGGGTGGTCTCAAACATCTCATCTAACCCCCTTCCAGAAAGCAAATAAGCGTATTTCCCATCCCAGCATCCACCTGCAGGTTCTGAGACTGTAATGTGGGTAAATGACTCCCGACTTCCTGCTGTGCTGATGTTAGTGTTTCCTTATGAGGAATGTCATGTCAAAGACTTGATGCCAAACATCAACATTGCTGAACATATTCCACATTAACATAATTCATTTAATGTGATCTGGCTTGGTAGTTTTTCTTCTGCCACAAGAGGGCAGTGCTCCCTTGCTGCAACGTCTCTTAAAGCCTTGTCAGTACAGTACAGCACTGATTTGAGAAGTAGGCTATAGAATAGGAAGTGCATTTCCCTATAGTATATATATAAGTATGATTTGGTGTATTTCTTTGATTTAAAAAACAAATAATTGTATTCTAATTACTGGTGCATTCCAGTACCACAATTCCCTGTTACAATGACTCAGTTATCACTTTATTTCTTGACATTACTTTGCATTTAACAGCCTGTAAATTATGAGGTCGACATTGTTTACAGTTAAAGGATTAAATAGTAGGTTAGAGAATACAGAAACACAATGGGTTTTAATTTATGTCATGCAAGTGTTTTTCTCTTACACTTCTACCACTAAAATCATTGCTCTCTCCCACCAGCAGCTGCCTGTGGCGGGTTCATTACCAAGCTGAATGGCTCCCTCACCACCCCCGGGTGGCCCAAAGAATACCCTCCCAACAAGAACTGCGTGTGGCAGCTGGTGGCACCCATTCAGTATCGCATTACTCTGGTGTTTGACGTGTTCGAGACCGAAGGAAACGATGTAAGTTAATGAATGTCATTTATCATCATGTTTCTGCAGATGTTTTACCAAACAACCTGCTAAAATCATCACAATTTCACAAGCCTTTGTCCTTTGCAGTAAGTAGAATTTTCTACCATCAGGTGTGTAAATACGATTATGTGGAGGTGCACAGCGGGTTGAGTTCAGACTCAAAGCTTCATGGGAAATTCTGTGGAGCAGAGAAACCTGAGGTCATCACCTCCCAACACAACAACATGAGGATTGAGTTCAAGTCCGACAACACCGTCTCCAAGAGGGGCTTTAAGGCTCACTTCTTTTCTGGTAAGTCATAAAGACTGAAATATTCAGGAAGCATAGGGGAAGGAAATATTCAGGAAGTATTACCTAATATCCAAACCGTCACCCCAATCCAAGAACAATGCAGGCAGCTTCAGTCTTCAGTAGTAACTGCGGTTTAAACGGGCAAGTCAAGTTTGAAAATATATGGAGAGTCCTAAATGCCATACCAGCGTAAATTAATATGTGTTCTGTTCAGACCACAAATGGCTATAGAATTAATTATATATTTTGTCCATTCAATTCCTGCTGGTCTGCTTTTTTCTAAACATCTGTCTCATACTGAAAGTCTGTGCTTGCACTCAGCAGCAGCAGATCTGGGCCTAAAATGTTAACTCAGTGTGTTCTGCAAGTTTTTTGCAGCTTATTCTGACGTATTCACATTTGTGCAAAGGAATTTTGAAGTGAAATTAATATATAATAATAATAATAACTTTTTCAACAGATATCGATGAGTGCTCCAAAGAAAACGGAGGCTGCCAGCACGAGTGTGTGAACACCTTCGGAAGCTACAGCTGCCAGTGCCGCAGCGGCTTCATGCTGCATGATAATAAGCATGACTGCAAGGAAGGTACAGTGTGTCTTTAAAGGGTCAGTTCACCCACATTTATACATAAGATTTGTTATTTTGATTTTGAGTGTTTGATTCTTCACCGGTCCTTTGAGTTGATTTCCTCGCCCTGACCTCGTGAGAATCTCCTTCTGGGGCTCAGTGTGAATGGTTTTTATAGGAATTACTTATAACCACTTATAGTCCCTTTGTTGCAATGGTCTTCACTTTTGATGGAAGCTTTTGCTTAGGAAAACACCCTAGAGGACAGTTGTGTTGAAGGATAGGGAAATGATGTGACCCCTCAGTAATGCAGCTTTCATTGTTTGCTGATATGTTGCTGTGTTGTGTTTTTCAGCGGGATGTGATCATGTTGTTAACAGTGTGTCAGGCATAATAAGCAGCCCCAACTGGCCTGATAGATATCCCAGCAAGAAGGCCTGCACCTGGTCTCTGTCCACCACCCCGGGCCATCGCATTAAACTTGTATGTCAATGGATGTTTCCTTGTTTTCCATTTAAACATTATATGTCATGAAGTAACAGTCATCAACTGATCAAGGTAATTCACAGCTTTTCAAACTGACTCTCAGGTTTTTAACGAGATCGACATGGAGGCTCATCTGGAGTGCGCTTACGACCATCTGGAGATCTACGACGGGCGGGATGTGCGTGTCCCAAGTCTTGGACGATTCTGTGGCACCAAAAAGCCCTCTCCAGTCATCTCCAGTGGCAACAAAATGTTCCTGCGTTTTTTCTCAGACAACTCAGTGCAGAAGAGAGGCTTCGAGGCTTCATACGGAGCAGGTGGGCGAAGCAACTATAAAATAACTTTTAGCCTGGAAAATTAGTAAAATTACACTTTGTAGAAAGAATAGAATACCAAAAATGTGACATTTCAACTATGGGTTTGTTTTCTGCTGTGTTTATAAAGCTGCATTCTTTCCTCACTTTTACGAGTTCCTCTTTTTGACCCCTCTAATTTTGTGGTTGTGAATTCCCAGAATGTGGAGGAAGCCTAAAAGCCGAGGTCAAGACAAAAGATCTCTACTCTCATGCCCAGTTTGGAGATAACAACTACCCCGGCGGCTCCGACTGTCTGTGGGTGGTCTCTGCTGAAAAGGGTTACGGAGTGGAGATCATCTTCCAAGTGTTTGAGATTGAGGAGGAAGCCGACTGCGGGTATGATTACGTGGAGCTGTATGACGGCGCTGACATCAAGTCTCCAAGGCTGGGGCGATATTGTGGATCTGGGGTAAGTCTAAAAATATCAGCTTTGTGTTGTAACCACTGTTTAAAATAAATGAATCTTCAAAAACCATCTCTTTTTGTCTGTACCTTTTTCTTTTTCCCAGGCCCCGGAGGAGGTCTACTCAGCGGGAGACGCCATAGTTTTGAAGTTTCACTCAGATGACAGCATCAATAAAAAAGGCTTTCATGTACGCTACACAAGCACAAAGTTCCAGGACACGTTACACGCAAGCAAGTGACTCTCTAAAACTACCCCAAACCTAAATGGAGACTTCACCCCTAACATTTGGTGTGACACACCCATTTCCAGGCGGGGAGTAAATGCATGGATTGATACCACAAACACCAACCCACATACTTTACATTTACATCTGTTAGAGTGAAGCCATGCAGCGAAACTGCATCTTTACTCTCCCCCATTATATAGCTATATAGGATGAAAGGAAAGGACTAGTTTGCAGTGAACTTCGAGTAAATTCAGTCACCCCTGCTGTAATGAGCTTATTACGTCATAGCACTGTGTCAAGATATAAAATGTATATATTGTGATATAGTTTGCCATGATTTTTTTTTTCAATCATAATATGGACTGTTTTTTTTTTTCAATCTGAGGTTGAAAGTTGGATCACTTCTCATGAATGTGATGCACTTTGTTGTATTATATCATTGGACAAAAGCACATACTGGTAATGATGGAAATGAGGATGGAGGATGAAAAAAAGGGATTATTCCCAAAATCTGTTCTTTTATTTAATATTTTTAAAAGTTTTTGAGTTCCCTTGCAGTACATTAACATTCCCTTTGAGTTCCTTTGTGACAGTGTTTTCACATGTTTTCGATTGGTGTTTCTGCGTGTTGTATCCTCTTGCAAAATACATAAAGTACAGAATGATAATGGGTGAAATTAACACTATTCTTCAGTCCATCCAATATTTTTCCATTTACATCTCAGCCTACATGCTTATCAGTCAACATTTCTCTAAAGAACTTCTTGATTTTTACCCCCAGTGAATTTTATTTCTTAGCTTGCTCCAGGGATGTATAAGTGTACTTTGGAGGGTGTCAGTACACTCTGACATCACCGGTGGGCATGGTTACAGAGACAGCTATCTTACTGCTGGCTGTAGTCAGAGGAGCAACTTTATACTTTAAAGCAGGCAAGACAGTGAAACTTTGCTTTTCAGCCTGGTATTAAATGAAGAAATTCACATACAGGACACACACTATATGACTGGGCTGAAAAAACAACAAAGGGTGGAAGGCATCTTTAATAGTCTCTCTGTAAGGTGAAGATATTGCATCTGAGGGGGGTGACTGTGTCATTCCACCTGCCTCAGGTGTGATCATGTGACCTCTTGATGGGGACTTAACAGTTTATTTTGAACAATTAAAAATAGTGCTTCAACTTTCAACTTCATCTTCATTGTGTAATCAAATTACGAGGATGTTCTATTTATTTGTTGGAATAAGCACACTTTGGGGGGAAAAAAAGTTTGAAGAAATGCTTTTATTAAAAATAACAACCATATAATTCTGTGTGTGCCACTTAACAGGATGAACAGTTGGTACAGTCGATGCATCTAGCACAAGTACAAAGTAGATATCCAAAATTATAACCATTTGTTCACATAAAAAAGACTTGTTCTTAGTGTTCTGCTACCAGCTCCAATCAAAAGGTTAAACATCTCCTGAGGTCTCTGAATGTACCGAATACCTCATTAGTATGATATGACCCCATGTAATCAACTAAAACCTCAACACGTCCAAAACAATCACAGTATAGAGTGATATTTTATTGAATGTATAAGTGTATCATGCACAAGAAAGATTATTGAATTATTAAAATAAACATAATAGCACACTCCATTAATCTCACAACAGCCAGGTACCCAGACAGTTTCACATTCTTCACTGAAGCACAGCTTCTCTGAAATGAAATGAGTGGCAGTAGATCCGGTCTACAAACGGAACTGTGTGTTACAAATGTGTTACGTAAAGGTTCCCTGTGGAGTTTTAGACCTCTTATATCGAGTAGGTCCCTGTTTTGTTTGGGAATGCATATACACAGTCCTACCAATGGTGTCACCCTATTTTACTGATCAACAGGTGGCAGTAACAGGCAAAGATAGGCTGCAATGCCCACAAAGGCACAGGGCTACTTTAAGATACATCTATTTCTAATGGATGGATATAATATTTATTGTACATTGCACAATTACAAATCGTCTGTTGTATCTAATTCTGTACAATAGAAAGAACAAAGAACATTTGTTTGGTAACTTTTTATGCTTTTGTTCCCTTTTCAGTTGTATTTTTGTCACAGTTGTTTTAAATCTTTGGTAAGAAAACCTTGAGAGGCTCATTTTCATGCACTTTATCAAGAAAGCCCAGGTTGAAGTAAGGGTACAGCGTCTCGGTGAAGGTCTCTCTGAAGGTGTAGAGGTGTGTCATGCTCTCTGCATTGTAGAAGGACACCAGCCCCCTCTTGTAGTCCAGGTACACTCCAATCCTGGCTAGTGGCTCCTCCAGGGACAGGACTTTTGGGGGTGAAGTGCCAGCCATGTACTGTATGCCATAAGAAAGGGAGAGAGTCCAGAAGCCGTTGGCTGGGAGGGCTTTGATGACTCCCTTTCTGGGCACTGACTCCCGTGCCACCCCCACAGTCCAGACTGTGCTGCTGTAGACTTCAATCTCCCAGTAGTGGCGTCCGTGGGTAAAGCCCTGGCTCCCGAGCAGTGACAGGGCAGCATTGAACCTGTAAGGGTTGTCCTGCACGGTGTGGTTAAAGGTCTGATAGCGAACACAGGTGAGGGAGGAGGTCAGGCTGAGCCATGGGTTGGCCGTGCTGGAGTTAAATGTGATGGCCGCTGGAACTAAAAACAGGAATATAAAATAAAGAATTTAAGAGATTCTTTGATGATACATATTGAAGCTTAATGATCTTGATTTCTGTGTAATTCAGTGCTTGTATATTACATTCACAAAGACAGTTGGGGCCCAAAAGTCACTTGAAGTACCTGGATAAATGCTCCCTTTCATGGATTTCCACACTCTGTACTGCAGGGGCCCTGCAAACCGACCCTCGCATAGACTGGGCGGTGTAAACGCAGGTTTCTCAAACTTCAGCGACGGCCTGCCAACAAAAGCAACAAGCCAGAACAGTAAAGAGAGAGAATAAAAACAAAACCTATGCAGGATCAGATAGTAAAAGCTTTTCCCACACTCACCTCTGGAGGAGGACTTTGATGCTCTGAAATGAAGCACACAAATAAACACAGGAAAAGAGAGACAGAGACCAGTGATTAGTTTTGTTGTATCTGAAAGAAGAGAAAGCTTTTTTCCACATTACATCAATGTCTGAGCTCACGCTATCCCACCCTGTGGGATCTCCCTGTGGCCGGGGGAAAGTCCCACAGCCGTGGCCTGAGTATGGCCTTGTGCCTAAACTAAACTCCTTATCCTCCAGATCAACGAGTGAGATCACTGGCCTACATCCTGTTTAACTCACTGCTCAAATCTTTTGTTATTAGAAAAGTTGCAACACTGTTTTTTTTTTTTTGTCAAATACACATAAACTGACTAGATCAACATGTTTATGGCTTTTAAGAATGGTTTACAAACTTGGTCACACCCTGTTCAGTTGAATCTTGAATGTTGGGCTCTGTGCCTGTTCAACATTTTGGCACAGTAACACATGTCTGATACAGGACAGAATGTGTAACTTTCAGCCCAGATTTTTACCTCTTCACTTCTTCTCATTTCAATGTGACATGAATAATTTTGGAAGAAAAATAAGATTAAAATCAAAAGCTCAGCATTTCTTGCCTTAATCATCCCCAGAGCTGACTCATCATGCTCTTAATAACTTCCAGATGGACTGTATTCATCGTGTATGAAGTTCATATGAGCTGAACTTACCCGGAGCAGAGTGAACGGGTCCTGCTCTTTCAGCTTTTCCTCTATCTCGTGGACGGCTCTCTGCAGACGAGAGATCTCCACGCACAACAGGGCCTTGTGCTCGTCCAGTCGGATCAGCTCTCTCCTTTCCTCTGTCTTCAGCTTCACCTGCAGCAGCTTCTCCTCTTGGTACAGGAACTGGTGCAGGTCGCTGAACTGGGCCTCAATGCGCTGCTTCAGGTCAGCCGTGTGCTCCTAAGTAGGTGGAGGATGATGCATATTGTCACTGGGAGCAATCACTTACCTTTACAAAGATGGGAGCATAAAAGCCACACCATGTTTTACTTTTTTGTACTGTGGAAACAAATGTTTATAATTTGAAAAAAGCCCAAATTAGGCCGATCTCTCCTTCAGTTCAAGCTCCGTCGGGAATAAAGAACCTTATCACATCTGTTTTATAGATATATTCATTTCTTTGTGGTGAAATCAGATTTTAAGACCATAAATGGGTCAAAGTGGGCAGTCAGTGTGGAATAGGAAATGCATTGGTGATAGCACTGAGTGCATTGTGAAATCATAGGTGGAGCTGTAAAAATCTTGTTTTGGAAGTATTTCCTCTTACCTTGAGCTTTCTAACCTCCTCCTCGGCTTCCCTGTCGTACTGCAGCGCTGTGTTGAGTTCAGCTTTAAGGGAATCCATGGAGCTGTTCAGAGATGCCTGACAAGACAGAGACACAACATTACTGCACACTGGCCTGCTTTTCACTTGTAATTCCAATGTCACACCCACTTTTATTGGATGTTTTAGAGCAAAAACAATAGATAAAAAAGTAAATGAATAAATTAGCACAAATGTTTCCTTTAAGTCGTCTGTTCATACATATGAAACCAAGGAAGCACAGCAGTGATTAACATGGTACAAAGTATGATGAAAGGACCACAGAAAGTACTATAAGCACTAGAGAAGGAGCACTTCCACCCATAAATAATAATTTGGAAGATTGGATGTATACTTCCTGAGATGCATCCTGATGTTTCAAAGTTTGGAAATGTTTACATTTACCTAAAGCTTCACTCACCCTGTACTTCTGTTCAGCCTCCTGGACACACGCCATGGTATGATTTCTGTGCTCCTGGGAGAGACCACACACCAGACACACCAGCTCCTGGTCCTCCTCACAGTAGAGCTTCAGCTCCTCTCTGTGTCTGCTGCAGCGTGGGACCGGAGCAGGAACCCTCTCTGCCACCCCAACATCTGGCAGGCGGGGTCCAGTCCCACTCTCCTCCAAACCTTGACAATAGCTCTCCACTATGTTGGCAACAATGCGGTTGGGCCTGTAGCTTTGTCCGGGGTACACCTTCCTGCACTGAGGGCAGGAGCCTGTGCCTCCCTGCCCGGGGCCCCGCGGACCAGTCCAGTAACCCTCAATGCACCCCTGGCAGAAGGTGTGATCACAGGGCAAAGACACTGGCTGCTTGAAAAGATCCAAGCAGATGGAGCAGGTAAGGTCTCTGCTGATTCTGTTTGTGTGTGCTGAGCCTTTGGTTACCTTTCCAGCTATGGGAGGCTGTCGCAGCTTTTCCATTGCTGTTTGCACAGCAAAGTCTCCGTCCTTTGGTTTCCAACTTTTCTTGTCCGGCTTTATCCCCTGGTTTAGTTTTTCCAAGTTCTGCAGATAAACTGACTGAATTTTCTTCACTTCTTTCTGATTCTTGCTCATTCCTTTGCCTTGATTGTTTTCCTTTGTTCTGACTGTACAGCTGGACCTCTGCGTCCTTCCTCTCATGCAGAGTGTGGCTCTCTGCCGGCCTCCAGTCTTCCTGTTGATTGTGGGGAAATGAAGGGGGTGGTGCAGAAGCAGCCACAGCCTCTCACATCCTCAGCAGATAGTGAGGGGATCTCAATGGGCCCCCCTTTTCCCTCCAGACTGACGTCACATCTTAGTCAGGAAACCGAGGCGGACCATGGATATTCTATCCTTGGCATGTTTGTTTTGTGAAGTCTGGCCGGTAACTACAAGAAAGTCCTGATTCACTAAACTCTTAATCTGCTGTCGAGCAACCAAAGAAAAGTCTAAATCCATTTTATGTGACTTTGAGTCGTGTGTGTGTGTACCCACGCGTGAGTGTGTTTGAGACAGAGAGAGTCTGGGAGCAGTCACAGATTTCCTGCTTCTTTTTATGGCAATACTCGCTGCCCAGTAAGTAATCATTGTTGCTGAAGGGTAAACAAGATCATTAAGAGATTTACACAAAGAAAGAAAACGTCCTGTAGCTCCACCATTAACAAACACTGCAGGCTTCCTGTGAGTTAGTTTTCCCCCATCTAGTTATTATAACACATATTCACAGCTTGTTCCCTGAGGGCTGGAACATCTGTCCAGTTAACTAAAGCTTCTTTCATCACTCTAGTTCAAAGTTTTTATGTGACTTGCTACAAAGAAAAATAGCCCTGGAACACATCAGCATATGAGCAGTTCAAATACTACTTCATATTACAGGGTGTTACATCAGACTAATCACACTGTATCGCAGTAATACAGACAGCCTGTGATTATGCACTGGAACATAATCACAGGTCAGGAGAGGGAAACTAGCATTATGTAAATTGAAAAATGCATGTGTGTGAGAGAGAGAGCACATTTCACACCCAATGTGTATGTGTGTGTGTGTGTGTGTGTGTGTGTGTGTGTGTGTGTTTGACTTATCCAGCTAACTTCTTTAAGCTTTTCAGAATACTACCACCCTCTCATGAGTTATAAAGACAGGCTGCAGTGTTGTGAAACAGCAAGACTATGATAGGTGAAGACAAAATATTTTTTATGCTTCATGTGTTGCTGGAGTTCGCAATACAATTGTTTTTTTTAAATGATTGATTATACTGGATACGTGGTTGCCTTATCTATATCAATACATCTGCTTGTAGTTATACCTGTGATACCTGACACTTCCAACCTCCTCAAGCCTATTCTCTGCCTTACAGTAGGCTATGTTATGGACAGTAGTGACATCTGGTGTCCAAACTGAAAATTAAACAAACAAAAAACAACTGAATATATTATGTGTTACTTGTGTATTACATTTTGAGAGTGGAAAATTATAAATATTTGTTTAATCTGCCTCAGGAGCTTCTACACTGCAATCATCCAGTCTGTTGTCTGTACATCCATCACTGTCCGGTTTGGATCTGCCACCAAACAGGACAGAGATAGACCACTACTGGTGCTATACTGCTGGGAATGGACAGGAAACATCACTGCAGACCCATCGCACCCTGGACACAACCTGTTCCAACTCTGGAGGGCTCCAAACCAATTTATTCCCACAGGCCATCACTCTGATGAACACCTCAATCATATAGTGACAATAACCCGGTAACACTAAAACTGTATCTACAAATTATAAATTTTATATATACAGTTTAAAACACTGTTTTTACATATTAGCACTGTCAATATAAATATATACTGTGAATAACCACCCACTTTATGTATATTCAGTATTTATTTCTTTTGTATTTACAATCACAAATTACAAATACAGAAACACTTGACCTATATGTAGAAGTTGTATGTCTTTGGTCAGTGCTGCTTTCTGTGTAAATATTTACATTTACACCTTTTTTCACCTACTTAATATTTATGTTTACCTATCTTTGTTCAGCTTTCTTGTCCTTGTTTTCAGCCGTCTATTCCTATCTTGTTGTAAATTGCTCTGTATGTAAGTACATTACAGCAACATAAAGTAGGGTCATGTGTGTACTTGGCCAATACATTCTGAAGTGAGTTATAGTCAGTAAAACAGCAATTGTCTGAAAATTAAACAAAATAAATGAATAGTCAGTAAAAGTCAGAAAGAAAAATAATTTACTAAGGTACCAATTCCTAAAAAGACAATATTTTGTACAACATACGTAGATCAGGAAGACATTTTCATAAGTCACCTAAACGTAGCCCAAGTAGCACAGAGGCTCTGGAGCTCAGATAGCAGCCAGAAAAAGTTTGTGCTTTCATTCTCTTCCAGTGCAGTGCAACCAAACACAGACCTGCAGTATAAAACGATGTGAGCAGGTTGACAGGGTGATGAGGAGCTGATAAAGCCGAGCATGAGGAAGCAGGTACAGATGTTCCTGTGGAGAGACGAGGCAGCTGCAGCAGTAATGGCTCCAGTGGTTGCTCGCCTCTCTCTCCTCTCACTGTAGTTCAGACTGGACCAACAGGATGATTGCAGATGTTGCTGCAGCTGTGCCTCAGCAGCCCCGTGGATAAGTGTAAGCATGAACTCAGTCGCTATCTGTGGTGCTGAGGAGGTGCTGGAGCTGTCTGTGGTGCTGAACATTTATGAACAGGTATGAAGCCCTGTGGAGCAGCATGTCTGACGTGTTGCACGATCACATTTTACAGCTCCACCTATGATTGGGATGATTGACGCAGCAGCCAAACTAGCAAACTCTTTGTATTTCTTTTTTTTCTTTTTGTGTAATGTACTGCTGTTCATCTTGCCTTTTTGAAGATGTCTTAGTATAAGTTAAAGCTTCTTACCTCTACTACTTTTGTTAACTTTGAATTCATGTATATCTATTTGTAAGTAAAACAAACAAGCATATGAATAGAATTATTTTCCACTGATAATTCATTATTTCATTCTTCTTTATTTTAATATAACTTACATTGGTGTCATGTAAAAAGAATGTATCTCCATGTCAACTTTTTATTAGCAAAGAAAAACAGACCAAATTCACAAATGTTTTTTTAAATGGTTCATTTTATCTAAAAAAAAAAAATCATCCTCACCACATTTGGATGAACACAGTTTTCACTGGACAGCAACAATATAAAGTAAAATATTACATAAAGTTAACACAATAAGATGAACATGTATCCAAAACTGTCAAAAACTTCCAATGCAGTCAGCCTGCAGTAAATCACTGGAATATGTGTCGCAGTAGTTATAATGTGCAATTCCTGGAAAATATGATGTGGAACTTTTATCTGCAGTGATCCACATTCACTGAGGTTTTAGTGGAAATTAAGTTAAGCGGTGGCACCCAGTGTAATTAACTTGTAACCTTCAATGGTCGCTAATAAAAACGACCATCACAGCATCTTGAGAGCAGCCCATACATAATTAACACAGGGGTCAGATTAGGATTGTTGAGTTAATTAAACTGTGGAAATTCTTTAGCATTATGATTCCCGTAAGCCTCATGGGTCAGGAAATATTTGAGTGGGGTGCAGCGGAGCGTAAATGAAGTGGTTATATTCTATCACCTCTTCAATAGCATTACATTCAGTGTGAACAACTCCACTAGTGGCTGTTAAATTTTTCATCCATAAATCCATGGCAACAATGCAGAGAAGTATAGAGCAAGTAGGATTGTTAATATTTATATTATCTCAATACTATTCTGTATATCATGTAGTGTTATTCAGAAAATTAAACATGTAAGAAACTCGGCTGATTGTGGTTTTTAAGTGAAATTTCTTAACAACCATTGGATGGATTGCCGCGAAATTTGGTCCACACATTCATGGTCCCCTCCGGGATGAATTGTAATCACTTTGGCGATCTTCTGATTTTTCATTAGGTCAAAATTACAATGTCTGATATTTTGGACATTATGACCAAATAGCCGCAAAACTAATCTCAGTCTCAGCTCTACTTTCTATTTTGTGCTAATTAGCAAATGTTAGCACACTAACAGGCCAAACAAAGATGGTTTACATACCTGGTTAGCATAAGTTAGCAATACATTGTAAGCATGTTAGCATGCTGCTGTTAGCATTTAGCCCATGGCACAGACTCTCAGTGCCTCTAGCGTGGCTGTAGACTTATTCGTGTGTTGTTTATAGTTTCTTGCCAAAGTCAGAGTTTAGAAAACATAATACAGCATTTTATTGTGTAGTTTTGTTTATTGGGACAGCTATGGGGATTTTAATTTTGGTTCTTCTATTTTTGCTTTGTGTTTGGACCTCAGGGGAAAGAATTATAACCACAGAGAAACATAGAAATGTCTTCTTTGCTCGGAGGCTGTTAATGAGGCTGTTTTCACTCTTCTCTACTATTTGCACTACATTCCCCTGTGCTGCTGTGCCGAACTTCCTCCCACAGGGGATCCATAAAGGAACATCTTATCTTACCTTAAAGCTAATCTGACCCATTACATGAACATGACAATATCTTCTGTAACTCCTAAACAGGTATTAATCTTACATTTCAAGGTTTATGTGTCTGGTGACACTAAAGGATGAGAAGCAGCAGATATTTGTGGCACAGCTGCAGACAAAGTGTGAACGTGTGCTCGACCGTGTGCAGCCATGCATGTGAGTGTTTGTGGCAAATTCTGAAAGAAAAATGCAACATTTATGAGGAAAGAGAGAAAATAAAAGAAACCGCCTTTCATACACACACACACACACACACACACACACACACACACACACACACACACACACACACACACACACACAAGAGGCACATCTGCACTGAACACACACCCTCAATTAAACCCTGAGATGATGTGTAAGGCACCAGGGAAACTGGAGGCTCTCTGGAACTTGTGAGGCTAAAAATAACCTTAGTGTCTGCAGGACTGAAACAGACCTGTAGGAAGATAAGAGGCAAGGACAGGCAGTACGAAAATACTGAATTTCTCCAGTTTTGATGTTGGCTGTAACAGTAAAAAATATTATTTTCAATAAACATGGTCTCACAACTGAGAATTATCTTAAGCAAATGAAATAATATACGTTTGATGATTTCTGTTTCAAATTGTTGACATGTTTCACATTTTAATCTTGCTAGCAGCCTTATAGCATCGTGGGTAAATGACCATCATTGTGTAAATGTGTCCGAATGCTAGCCTGCTA